TTGTCAGTGCCCTGGTCATAGCATACAGTCACGAGTTGTCAGTGCCCTGACCATAGCATACAGTCACGAGTTGTCAGTGCCCTGGTCATAGCATACAGTCACGAGTTGTCAGTGCCCTGGTCATAGCATACAGTCATGAGCTGTCAGTGCCCTGGTCATAGCATACAGTCATGAGTTGTCAGTGCCCTGGTCATAGCATACAGTCATGAGTTGTCAGAGCCCTGGTCATAGCATACAGTCATGTATCTGAAATCTGAGATCATATCTATAAACCAATCTCTTTCTATTTTTCCTAGTCAAAACGTAATTTTCGTTGTATGACGTAATTCGTAAATTTGTTGTAACTCGAAGACTTTTCATACACCTTAAAATTTTATTTTTAGAATTCAGAGGAATCACTGATTAAAAATGCCTTGGTGGAGGTGATATATCAAAATATTGAAGAGCACTACAGACACTAAAATACAACACCATCCAAGCTTGGCGGAGGAAGAGGGGGTCTCATGCAAAAATAAGAGAAAGCATGCAAGACAACTGGAATTGCAGACTTTAAAAGAGAGCATACAAACTAGGAACTATCTTTTGGCGACAGAGGCACAATATTATTTATTTTCACTGCCAATTAATTTATTACTTAAATATTCGGACATATTCACTGGTTTTTAAAAGTTGAAAATGAGTTTTAAAGTTACTTTATAAGTTCATATGGATTTAATTTTAATGATTAGCAAACATTAAAACTGATTGGCTAATTAATGCATTAGTACACTGATAATAGTTTGCCATTTATCTGTTGTAAAACTATAGCGATCTATGAGGAAGTCTCCCTTCATTTATTACATACAATGTATATATCAAAACGAGGATACACCAAAGTACGCACAATAACAGTTCAGTATTGACCAATGCGTAGTGGAGGGCAATACGGCTCTGTTTGAGTGCATACTTTGTGGTATCTTCATCTTTCTGAAATAACCATTAGCTATGTGAAGCTCAGAACTAACGAAAGATGGGAGTAAAATTAATGGAACAAGTTTGTTTTTAAACATGTCCGCCATCTTGGAAATATAACCACATCATTCCAAAGTTAGCATTCGTTATCCTAACGAGGTAGGATGCAACTCTCACAACAACGCAAAATTACAGCGAGCTGTAATTGATAGAAATATGGTGACAGATGCACCCCGGTAATAACTATTATAAACACTACCAAGTATTATGTTTTCTGCATTTTTTCCTTGATTCAGGTTAATCTTTCAGAACAAAAAAAAGTCACACTATGCAAAAAGCAACCACAAGGCATTATATTTTTATAAATATACATCTGCAATACAATCATTTAGTACTACAATGTGATGTGGAAAGCTGGAATGAGGTTACAAAATGCATGCAGTAGACAGGCTGGCGGCCAGCCATGCACATCACTGGGGCATACTATAGATGTCCTCCACTGCATACCAATGATATGAGGTAATGTTTGCAGTCTATAATAATCTGACTACCCCTGGAGCAATTATACCCAAGTCAATGAGATTACATTACAGTGTATCCTAGTTCTCCACTCCTGGCCATCCTGCTGAAACAGGCCAAGGCATGTAAATAACATACATGTCGCATACACATATTGTGCTGCAATGCACTGGAGGTTGGCGGGTTCACTATTTTTTTTTTTATAAATTCTCATGCTTGTTGAAGAATCAGGTGAAAGTACTTTTAATCATTATACATACTTGATGACTTCATGATATACAAATATTAGTTAAATCACATGTCATAAGTAGGTTTTTAGGTCAGCATGAATGCCGCGGATCTTGATTAATGTTGACACAGACGGTAACCCTTCAGGATACGAAAACAAATTCTCATGTTTTTATTTAAGGTCTGCTAGCTTGCACACTAAACATAGGATTCAATCACACCGGTGGTTACAATTATGGCTCATGCAGTGTGTAAAAGTTTACACTGTCCCACTTGGGTTATGCGCAGAAAACAGCTGTCCTGCAGCGAATTGCACATGGTTGTGAATCTATTGTGATCTCTATGAGTACATACTTACAGTGTTCTTCATGAAAATGCGACACACAGGGGGACATCTACCTGCTACTGAATTAAAACTACCCCCTCCCAAAATACATGTATGAACGCAACATCAATATTGACATCCCATATTTGTTCTATTACATGTACAGCATGTAAACTAACACCTGCATTCAATATACAATATTACAACTTGATTTTGACTGCTATTTACATAAATGCATGTTTTGAATTCTAGGAGATATTTTGCAGTAGGTCTCTGAAAAGCCAGTGGGTTATTTCAACTAGTAAACAATCACGATCTTTAGATTGGTAAATATCAAGACCTTAAGGTAGCGGGACTATTATTTGCATACTTGTTTTCACTTTCAAATTGTGACCAAATGACTACAAATAGAATCGCCAGACTTCAAGCTTTTTAAAGCTGTGTTTGCCATGCCCGTATCTGCATTCTACAATGCGTTACTTAATCAAAAGTGAAAAATTACTTTTTTTGTAAAAAAAATAATTACGCATTTATGCTGGTGATAAGAAGTTTTTTTCCCCCTTTTCCTAGTTGTTCAATAGTCTGGTAAATTGAATGTGTCTGGTCAGTTTTATTCAAGCAACGTGTTTTGAAAAGTAGTGTCCTGAATTTGAATTTCTGTTTTAACCGCATTGCCCCCAACTCAAACCACAACACATTGGTAAATAATCCATAAAATAGTTTGTCTGGACACATTCAAGTTCCTCTCATTGTCACCTTAAAGCTGTGAAAATTTGGTGTTAATCCGACGACATAAGTATACGTTATTTTTTGTTAAAGACCTCGTATTTGAAAAACATAAACTCCTAGAAA